GTGTATATGTCATTTTTCTGAATCTTTTTTTCGTAGTTAATTCTCTCTTTTGTTCTCTTTTATGTTATTTTTAAATTTTATATTTTTTTCCAATATAAGTTGTCCCAAAAATAATTGGATATCTAAACCTAAGTATAATGATGATGATGATGATAATAATAATAATAATAATAATAATAATAAGTATGAAATTTAACTAATTAAGATTTTTAAACTTTTCTTTATTTAAAATTTAATTATTAAAAAGTCATTAATACAAATATTAAATTAATCTAATATTGTACAATAAAAATAATTAAAACATGTGATGATTGGGTCATGAGGAGGACAAGTAATAGTAATTGTGGATAATGATTTATAATAGTGTTGGCTAACTATATAGTCATGAATACTAACTATTAATAGTAATCCGAGTTATACATTGCCGAAAAATTATACTAAGAATATAATTTAAAAATTACAAATAAGCATAAAAGAACGATTAGATGTAAAGTTTACATAAATATATATAAATTATACTAAGAAAATCTCAAATAAAAAAGAAAAAAATGGTCACAAGTTTACATTTAAGTAGTTCTAATATCACCCAATTCTTATTACCCTCCCTTTTTCTCTATAAAATTTATTTTTAATATTTAACTTTTCGAAGTTCACATATATTGATTTCTTAATAAATTTCATATTTAATCTAAATATTTTTCTTAGTTTCTCTTCTATAAAATTATGTGATTAAAAAAAATTCTTTTTATTAAAATAATTATTGATATTAATATGTAATTTTATTTTAATCTTTTTCATAACTGCGCAAAGCGCAGCTAAGTACACTAGTATTAACTAATGGCGGAATACCTTCGACATCTATCGTCACAACCGCACAACTATCTTGACTAATAGAACCCATTATTTTCTCGCTTATCCTAATTTTTTCCGTTCATCTAAGTTCATTTGATCTAATATTCTAATGTACTTTGCTTTGAAATCTGAATCAATTAGGTAGGCTACATGTTATACTCCTATTGATCCATTATCCAAAGCCGTACCTCTCTAATTAACAAGTGTTATACCTAAGAACTCAAATAATTTACAATCACTCATTAAAATTTAAGATTAGATGCCTAGGTGATTAGTCGTGCCTACCAATCTGTTCAAAGTTACTTTTTTTCTTTTCAATAAATATATAGAGTTGTACACTTGCCACTTGCCAGATGATCGAACCACATACGTCCGATAACTTTTAAAATATAATCAAATATATATATAAAAAAATAATTATATATTTAATGGTATGTCCTTATGACTTAAAAAGTATTAATGTTTGGGCGAATTGGTAGAGTGTCATTTTAATTTATAAAAAAGAATTGTCTCAAAATAAGTGTGATCTTAGGAAATAGACAAAAATTATTCCAAGTATAATCTTACGAGGTTAAGTTAATAAAGTACAATTGCTATATTTATTGATTTTTAACACGTGATTTTTGCTGAGATAACATTCTTATTTTGCAACGGAAGGAGGATACTTGTGCTAGAAGTCAAAATTAAGAGGGGGATCAGGGATTGACATGTTGCATAGATGATGAATAAATAACTTTGTGCAAATCAATCCATTTCCAAATGACTTGTTCCATCAGGTTGTTCAAATGACACGAACAATGCCGAATTTGAGGCTTCATGAGTACATTACCCCGTGCGTCTCGACATGAAATTGACATCAATATGATCTGTCTCATCATAGATCTCCTCCTACACCAAGAAATGAGTACCAATTTCAGGTGTGACAGAAATAAAAATAAAAACGTACTTACAAGAGGAAACATTTTCTTCACTTTTAGAAGCTCCTCAATGACATCTTCCATGGTAATGATCCCAATTACTTCTTCTGAAGGAAGAGCTGAAAGTGATTTTTCCTTAATTGGCAGGATCTCTGGGTGAACTTCCTCTGACCACCTTCTGCTTTTCGACAACTCCCTTTGCGAAATACTTGCACTGAATCTCTTTGACTTCCTCAATGATCGTCTGGCCCTCGAGCTTTTCCTTTGATAAAACATTTCTCCAGGAATGTTCAATCTCACTTCTCTTACTGATAATAGCATTTCACATGTAGAAATCACCACAGAAAGCCAGAGGAATAGATATGCTAGATTACAGTAAAATGACAAGAAAATATATACAACTCTTAAGTTCTTCCTTACCACGTGTGGATAGATTGGCGATTGTACCATCTGGCTTTTTCACAACAGCAGCCATGTGGCTGAGACCTTTCTGGAATTCATTTAGTATGTCATACAATGGCATTGTTGCTGAAACTCTAGTATGTTGTGCAAACGATGTTAGGGACTATTTAACAATATAATGCTATGATTAACTAACCTAAGAAAATATTACAGCAGTTTGTTAGGTATTAGAACTGAATTCAAATAAGAAATTGGAATTCGTGATAGTGACTATTATGCAGGCTAATATCCAAGAGACAGCTTTCTATGAGGAAATTTGGATATTTTGTTTCCATCTGAACTACCTTGGGATACGCCGTATTGTTACATTCTTCACGGGCACATTATCACTTGGATTAATTGTCACCAAATTTTTCACCTGTTAATCAGAACAATAAATTCTTATGATGTTATCGCCATAAATAGTAATTAAGCATACATTAACAGAGTCAGGCATCTATATGAGACAACTATTTTAACTCAAAGAAAAGCTCGATTCTGAATCATGATTCAGTTTGAATCAATAAAGGTTCAGGCGGATCCTAGGTGAAGCTAAGTAGTTTATAATTATACTTCATGCTTTGTAAAGAAATTTCTACTTTTCGGTTCTCTTTGCATTTTGCACTAATTAGTGAGTCTTTTAGTCTGTTGGAAAATCTGAGAATTTTTGATTCATTTAAACCCTTTGTTTCCTTTTCCTCTTTTTGTGGGTACTGCAACTCTTCATACTTCTTTGCTATATATTGCTCCCTATGGTCCATGGATAGCCATCATATTATTTTATCGGAGCAGGCACGTGTACTGGATAAGATGAAAGATTTTGCTCTTGGGACACCAGCACTTCCCAGCTTAATTCTAGTAAGAAGGTCAGCACAATTTCCAGGGATATGTATAAGTTCATCTATTTTGAAACTTAGCATGAACAACATATATCACATATATTTTATCTGAATGGTAAGTACATCTCAGTGACACATTCTGATGTGCATTACTGAAACAGCAGGATATAATTACCAGGACAAGTCCAATTATGTTTGTTCGATGTTCGTTGTACACTGGAACCCTGCTATGTCCCTTCTCCAAGATTAAGTTTATCAGAACCCTACTCAAAGACATCTTTATTATGTAAGCTAAATAAATTATTGTAGACATTATAAATTCCTATCTATTTTGGTGGTGGTCATGTAAACTCTACTGAAATGTACCTGTCAAGATTGGCATTGACATCAATAGCAAAAGTTTCAGATATAGGAGTCATGGCATCCCTTGCAGTCTTCTCAGTGAGCTCAAGTGCTCCTGCAATTATATTTGTCTCATGAAGTGATAATTCTCCTCCTTTTCCAGCCTGATTAGCAACAACAGTGAGAGGTTAATATATATGACATCTCCACAGTGTCTAAGAAGCCTCAAAATGGTTCACGACTATATAACAGTCAAGTTGCCGGGATTGGCAAGTAGATGTACAATTTGCATCAAATTAGGATTAGGTCAAGGAGGAGGAAAGGTAGATTCTGTATAGTGGTTGGTCCAACCATAGGTTCATAAGTTTAGCAGAACTCACAGTAATGTGTCCGAACCCTATATATGTGCAAAAAAACAAGTATAGCTAGCATTAAATATACATTCCAAAACTCATAGTGTCTAAATTCAGGTTTTGCCTTTAATTCTGAAAACACCAAACATTTTTCATCCTTGAAACTAAAAGAGGGACAGAATAAGAGTCTTTCAGCAGAAAGTGATAGGTAAAATACCTTATTACCGTGCATGTCAACTAAAGTCATCAATTCAGCTCTCCGAAATAGAGCCTTATGCCTTTTCCCCAACAGGCGGTCTAAGATCTGGTGATTAAGAACATAAGAAGGCAAAACTACACATACTATTCTTTTCTTGATAGAGTAAGTAAATTTATCAATTTATTTTTTCTGTTGTTGTTGGAAAAACACAATAAGATGCATTTCTTGTATATGCAGATGGAAATATTCGCACCTTACTTATTGGATAGGCTATTGGAAACCAAAACCAAATAAGAACTCGAACAAGTGGAGCAACAGTAGCACCAATGGCTAACCCATACCTTGTACAGAGAGATTGTGGTATAATCTGCATCCCGAAATGTTACTTAATTGGATCTTTATACTTGAGCAGAAAAAATATCTTTAAAAATCCCTTTTTGCACATGCTAAGGCGTTTAATTTGCAAAATTCGAGAACTAACCTCACCAAAGAGAAGTATCAATGTTACTGAAAGAAGTATTGCTCCCCAATCTGGTACTAATTCATCGAGAAAAACAGGAAGTGCCTGAGAAATCAATGTATTCCTATCAATTGCAGTTGAATTATAAATATTACAGCTTCTTTTATAGCAGCAGCGCTTACCTCCATAGCAGCAGCGTTGCTAATCAGAAGCGTACATAGCAATAGATGTTGTTGCTTCACAATGGGCAAGATCTTTGCTGAAGTTACCAGAAAAGTAGCAGTTAAACTTAAACATGTTGATCCACAATTCAACAATTAACTCTTCAATCTTGTCAAAAGAAGAAGAAAAATTCACTTGTAAACTCTATAATTGGAAATGGAGCAAGAAGAAATAAATGAATATATGTGGAGATCACATACAAGCATGGAGACGGTCTTTGGGCGTTCCAGATTTTGCAAGAACTTCAAGATCAATGACGCTCATAGACATGAGGCCTAACGTGAGGCCAGACATGAGACCAGCACACAAGACTAGAAACACAACTGCTGCAATATAGATGAAGAACTCTGTATTGCAACATTTCAAGTAGGTGTGTCCCATTTTAGTTTCTTCCTTGCTAATTCCCCCTTTATTGTTTGTGTCCTCTTAATGAAATGTAATTCTCTTTATGAATATGCTTGAAAGATTAATACAAATGAAAATAGCTAGTTTTAGGCGAGAAATCCCATGAATAATTAGTGGAATACCTTTTTGCCTGCATGCTGGGAATAATAATATATTCGGTTACCAAACAAGGCTAAATTTTTTAAGGATACTATTTGAATTGATTTCGAATCTTTTGTCACAAAAAATGGAGGCAATACAACTCCATGGCTATTGAATTAAAATCTTTAAGTCACCTACAAAACAAGGTTTGTGACACGATGAATTGGCCAAACTTTAATTTGGAACAGGCAAAAGGTCAGCCCTAGCAATCCGATGCTTAAATCTCTTGGTTTACTCGATAAGTACATGAATCCAATGGTTGCCTAGTTAATTTTGGCATTATTTTTTTACTAAAGAAAGACATCATTAATATATTCCCATTTAGAACCTTCCGGGTCTGTGTTGTTTATCAAAGTCCAGTTCAGGAAAGAGTGAGATTCAAAAAGTTATATGATAGAGAAATTAAAGAATTGATTATTTAGAATGTGATTTCTGTAACAATTTTTTTTCCATACATTAAGGAAACGAAAAACAATAACAAAACATACACAAAGAAAAACTAGACTGTACGTATGAACCTAATTGAGCTTTGTCGTTGCATCCTTGTCCTGCTCAATGAAATCTTCAGGGTTGTGTATGTACCAGATTGGCGTTGGCCACAACCAACGTTTTTCAATATCATGGCATGGCAAGGACTGTACCCTTCTACTATCCAAGTCGTAGACACCAATGTCATAACCTCCTTTAACACCAAACTCGTGGAAATCGAGAAAATTATCTGTGAAATAAATATGATTCCCCTTATATCCATGAAGATCAGAAGATGCTATTGAAATTGATGTATTTAGTCCCAAAAACAACACATTTTCACCGATGTTTTCCACCTTACACCAACTTCGACGGCTAGGTTCATACATATATAAGTTGAAGAAAGTTGTTCGATAAAGATAAGTTTTGCTGTCCCCTGTGCTTTTCGTATGCCTTTGAACCTGGAGCAGTCCAATTGAAGTCTTAACCAAGTAGCGTCTTTGCGGATACCCTTCTTCTTGTGGTGGTTCTATAGTATCAACTAGTTTTTGGAGAAGCAGACAAATCAAACACCTCCACGTAACTTGTAAATGTCACAGCATATAACTTTTGGTCATGAAAGATGGCATCATCATATCCCATCCTACCTTTGGCAATGCATGTCCACCTTTTATCTCCAACTTTACAGTAGGCCAAGTTACAATGACTACCATAAATTGCAGCAACCATACAATTAGGAGCTTTGCTTGAGGTAGGACTTGAAGATAGGACAAGTTTGTCTAGAAAACTATTGTGAACATGAGATGCAGCTTCAAGGTAAGTGTTCTTTTGTCCATCATAGGGTTCAAGTGCATATTCAGTGTCAAGCTTCTTTGCACAATACTTTCTCACATCAGGGAACTTATACCTCGGTGGAAGGGCGATTTGAACCCTAGTGAATGGGTTAAAGAGAGAGATTCTAGGAGAATCTTCAATAGAAACTAACCAACTGTGAGAAGATCCTCGAAACTTTTTACTGAGGACCTCATCTGGAAGTTGGAACCTCAAGGTAGTGAACCTTTCTTTTCGTGTAAACTATAAAACTTTTCATGTTCTTTATTTGTGTCATTATTACGAGGTAGTAGCAACCACGCATGCGAGCGAACCTCAATAGTTGGCAAGACGGATCTCCATGAAGTACAAACACATGTGAACCGAACTTGATCAGTATATGTAACAAGACAAGTAGCTATGGACCACAACAGATCCTTTGGAAGCTCCGACCATCCCGACGCCATTTACACTACCTAATCTGATCGATCACTATTCCGAACAACGATATGAGAGATTTATAACGTTTCCGATTTTTGGTTCAGAAAGATTTAAAGAAAAGATTTAGAGTTCTCCTATAAATACATCTCAAAGTAATCCCAAACTTACAAGGACAATAAATTCTTTTCCCAAATCTATTAGGACAAAGTGTATTCTAAAATCTAAACCAACAGTGATTATGAGTTTTCTAAGGAAAAAATCTAAGACATAAATAATAATGTGATGGCTTTTGAATATAGAGAATCAAACTTGTTAATTTTATAAAATCTTTTACTTTAAAAAAAATAAAATTTATATAATTGAAAACTATTTAAAGAGTATTATAAGTTTTTATAGTTAACAAATTTAAAATAACTAAAAGTACAAAATATGAAAAAATCACGGAAAAACTAACAATTTTCTGTAATGAATTGATTGGAGAGGGGTTCTAAATTTATTTCGCCCATTATTTCTTACGTAACGACGTGCAGAGGGGCCGCTTTAAGTTGCGAATAATACTCATTTTATTTTAATTTATGTGATATTTTTCTTTTTTCAAAAATTAAATAGTTTAAATTTGACAAAAAATTTTGCGCCTGAAATCTTCATTTTGAATCTTGTATATTACGTAAAAAGTACTATAAATTACAAATTACAATAATTGATAATCCAAAATATTTAAAAGATTTATGAAAAAGTTTAAATAAGCTTATTTGAATTTCAAAATTTAAAAAATGTCACATAAAATAAAACGAAGGAAGTAATAATAATAATAATAATAATAATAATAATATGATAATATACTTGAAAATTAATCGTATCACAGAACTGATAGAAGTGTGTATATAAAATTGTGTCCTAATAACACAGTTATTTTAGCTCACTGACCCGAAAACGAAAAGAAAAAAAGTTCCTAAAAACAAAAACAGAGTTCACGGATAAGAAGTAAGAAGTAAGATAAATAGTTTAGATTTGGGACATTTGGCTTTTGAACCGGGAACAGCAAATTGCTTGGAAATTCAGCTATTATCATAAGGGAGATCTTCTATTTCTTGCAATTTCAAGGATGTGGCCATGGTCACTCCAAGTATATATATCTCTTTAATGTTCTTTTTCTCCTCTAAAAGATTAGTTGAAATTTGTTTATCTACATAGGTAATAGTAGAAAATAAGAGACCTACAAAACTAACCACTATGGGAGATCCCTAAAGTTTTTACCAAGGAACTAATCTGGAACCTCGAGTTAGTGGTGGGGGAGCCAACTTAACATTGGGGATTCATTCGAAACTCCTTTCACAAAAAAATATATCATATTTGCATGATTATAATAATTTTCACATATATATTAAATGACGAACTATCTTTGGCTACTTCGTATGTTTATCTTTTCAGATTTTGAACCATTTATCAAAAATTCTGGTTTCACCACTTAGATCCGTTTGGATTGACTTAAAATTTAGTTTTTAAGTCAAAGTGAAGTGACTTTAAATCAAAAAATAAAAAGTAGGCGAGACCTATTTTTGATTTCTGACTTATTTTAAGTCATTTTTTACTTATTTTAAATCATTTTCTACCTTGCCAAACACTTCATAACTAATTCTAAGTCATTTTTGATTTATTTCAAATTATTTTTTATATTTATCAAATACTTTAGAAATAAAAAATTTACTTAAAAATGGCTTTGACCAACTTTTAAGTCAATCTAAGCAGGCCGGTAAGTGAACCTTCCTTTCATGTAAACTATAAACCTTTTCATATCTTTTATTTGTTTCATAAGGAGGTATTAGCAACCCCGAACCTCGCTACTAGGAATAGTTGACAATACAAACTTTCGGACAATAATTCAGCAGATTTACGATACCAAAATATAACTAATTGGTAATTCATTCAAAATTTCATTATTTATAAAAGTGTTGTTCAATCTTGTATTTTCAAGATACTTAGAATAAAGTAGAATTTGAAGAATTTGATAAGACACAACAAAGTTTTAGAATATTTTCACAACTAGAAAATTAAAACAATAGAGAAACTAAAATCAGAAATATATTAGAAAAAAGAAGAATTGTTATCAATTTGTGTTTAAAGAATCTTAGTATTTTCAACAAACTTTGCAGAAACATAAAGTTACCAAAGTTTAATGAATACCAGAATCTGGAAAACAAAAAGAAGATCAAGCTCACTGAACGTACAATGTCTCCTTTAGAAAATTATTTCCCTTTAGTATTCGAGGTTTGATTTGGAATATGTCATCATAGGATAGAATGATCTCGATCACCAGTGTATTGATACCCAAAACGATGGTGTCAATGAGTCACTCAATGGCAGTAAAGTAAAGTTAAAATACTAGATTTAGTAGTAGAAGAAAAAGTCCAGAAACTCTATTCTTAAAATGAGAGGAAGCTCTCAATTTTTATAAAAGATAAAGGGTAGTGCGAAAAAGTTCTTATTGTGTCTTACCAAAAAGGTCACAAATCTTTGAAAAAGTTACAATCCTTTGAACTTTTCATAAAAGTCACCATTTTTTTTTATAAAAGTTGCAACTTTTCATCAAATTCTAACCAATTATGTAACTCCCGTGTCTCAAATATAAAATGCTCAAAAGACCAACAAATAGTTAATGAATCAGTTAGTTACTTGTATAAATATCTGATTTGAAGGGAACGGAATGCAAGACAGTTCAATTATTTTAAGCTCCTCATTTCTTCTCTCTCCTTTCTCATTTCCAAATCAATTGCTGCATAATCTTACACTTTATTCCTGTTTCTGTATATATTTATGTTTTGCCCTGTCTATATCGTGAAGCATCGTGTTAAGTGTTATATTGAATGGGTTAGAATCAATAAATTTCATGTTTGTCTGAAATCTGAGCTCTAACTTCTTTATTGAATCTTTGTATTAGTAAGCAGGTGATACGCTATCATATACTTTGTTTTATATATTGTGACTGCCCCGTCATTACTTATTTGTTTGAATCAGGTTTTTGTTTTCAAGAATTACCTAATACATTTCCTTCTTGGGTCTTGTTATTTTTCATGCACAAAATAAAAGTCTTGACACATGGAGTCTGTATACATCTTGGGTGAGTTTATTCATCTTTGATTAATAAAATAGTTTTAAATTTGTTTCTCTTTTCAAATGATCAAACGTTTTTTTCTTAATTAATATAATTTTTTCAAATTTAATCAACATGTTTAGTGAAAATATCAGATAATTGCAAATTATTGGACATTTCAAGCATTACTATCTTCTTGAAGCGGAAAGAGAATCTCTAAACTTTTAAAGGAATTTTTTGTTTGAATTTTGTTATAATCAAGTTTTCTTAATTTCTTTAAAACATTATATGACCACTCTGTTTTAAATAAATATTTTTATTTAATTGTGGAAATAAAATTTGACATTTCAAAGTGGTTTTTTCCTCCTCCTAAAAATATAAGTTCAAACACCTACCCAAAATACTTATAAATTTGACCACGAAATTATATTTTTATAACAATATAAATAGTATATTATTCTACAATCATAATATGTTATTTTGATAAAAACTACTAAAAACACAATTAACCGCTATTATAATTTGTCCAATTACAATTACACTAATCTTTTAGTGAAAATAATAATAATAATAATATCAACTGATTATTGTTTAATATAATATTCAAAAAGGGCCTAAATATCCTCAAAGTATTGAAAATAGTACAAAATTACCCTTCATCCACCTATTAGCTCCAAAATGCCCTTTCCACCCACCTATTGGGTCCAAAATATCCTTGTCATCTACCTTTTGGTTCAAAATTGACCACTTATTTAACAGTTTTATATTTAAACTATTTAAATATTTTTTAAAATACGTGGCGCTCAACTATTTGTTATAATTTAACTTATTAGTGTAATTTATAAATCAATCCACTATCCACTCATTACTAATTAAATCCTTCTAAATTAATGAACCCATCACATTATTAATGCAACTTACTGTCAATTGAGTGTTTTTAAAAATATAGAAGTAAATTATCATACATTCAAGTGGCTACATAAAAATCATCGATAAACTTAAAAGTCTGACTATGTTCATCTTAATTATTCTTACATCTCAATTATGTGATGTTACTTCATAGGTAATTTTTTTTCAAAATAATATATTAAAGGTTTTAAAATAAATCATAAACATTTATAAAATTATATTTAAAAAAGTGCATGAATTAATTCAGGATGTATTATTTATTTACCTTTAATCATAAATTTCCAATTTAATTTTGAAACAAAGTGTCCTCCTAAATAAGCGGCTCAACCTAAATTTAATTGGGGCTTCGATTCAGACTCGAATAATTTTGAATATCATTTTCAGTAATCTATAATTTCATCGTGTTTTAGTAGTATTTATGACGATTTTGATATTATAATTATATTATTAATTGAGTGAGGTTTAGTTAGTAATGAGTGGGTAGTGGATTGGTTTATAAAATATATTAATAAATTAAATTTATAATTAATAGTTGAACGCCAGTATTTTAAAAAATATTTAAATTTGGAGCCAATAGGTGGATGAAAAGGACATTTTAAAGCCAATAGGTGGATGAAAGGTAATTTTATATCATTTTCAATATTTTAAGGCTATTTTAGGCCTTGTCGGTCTCTTCACGATTTTTAAATAATCTCTTCAAAACGTGCCTGCATATTTAGATCAGATTATCAAAAAAGGTAGATGGGAATTAGTTGAAACTTAAGGTCACCAAAAAAAAAAGACTTTTCATAAAATATAAAAAATTGGGACAAGTTTTAAAATTTAAAGAGAAATTAATAGTTAGGTAAATATTTGTCCCAAGTTCTCAATGGATTTTTAGAAATTAGAGTCGCATACATTTCCTAATTTAGGCCTATCAATAAGGGTTGGGCTTGGGCCGTTCAACTTTTAGCGAAATCGGTTTTGGGCTAACCCACCATGCACAATGCCAACTCCACCGCCGACACTGTTACCCCATATATATAT